ATGTAATGGATATGTGTGTGAGAGTTTATGTGGAGCCTTAAGCGGGTCCAGTCGTCATTTGTTATTATGTGATCGGGTTGTGTTGACAGCTAAGCTCCGGTGTACGTAAATATCATATAACCGGAGCATCCAGCTCACGCTTTGAGATCAAAATGTTCGGCGATGAGAACTGCTGTGGCATGTTGGGTAACGAACTCAAGTGCTCTCTGAGGGAATGGGTTGGGGGGGGGGGAGGAGGCGGGAGGCCATTCAGTCATTTCTCGTCGTTGCCGTCTTGCTGGATTCTAGCGTGGCCTTATGCCGGGACTATGTATATCACGTTACCAACCTTTGCTATCATTGATGGGATGGCATTGGTAGTCGCGTCATTATCAAGTCACTTTTTTCCCTATTTGCTGTCAGTCATATCTTGTTGTGAGTCCTGTCGGTCATGTGCATGTTGTATGCATGCTGTGGAATGGGATGGTTTTGTGTATGAATCCCCGGAGTATATGGACGCACCCAACTATGTGTATGCGTACATGCACTCGAGTACTCATACACGCAGACAACACTACATGTTTGCACGTCCTTTCATACTTATCCGTGTATGCATACCTAATTGACATTACGTACACACGCAAACTCTGTCATATGCCTCTACCCTTGCCTGTACTTACATTAATAAAAAACGAGTATATCCACACGTAGTGACATTCACTCTTCCATGTCTTGTGCGTTTTGTGTCGCTATGTCTGTAATTTCGTCTGGTCGTGTCACTTTTAAGTTATGTCTCGTTGCTGGTATGTGACCTGTTCTGTACTGTCTTATCATGTTCTGGTGGATGGTGTGTGTTGATGACGTTCTTGCTGCGTACACACTTCATTCCATTTGTTCTCATTAATTAACAGACATGCAGCAACACAGTTTATGGGTTCTTCACCTCCCTCGTAGTCCCTGCACTTTTAGTAAGTCCTCCTTGTTTGTTGGGCTGAGTCATTCTCTTTTCAAAGTTCTTTTTAAATGCTAGGGGTTCCAGCACTTCCTTTCTCTTATAAAGATCTGCTTTCTCAATAGGTGTTGTTTTAGTTTCTGGGTCCTCTCCTTTCTTGGTAGTCTGGTAGTCTGGTAGTCTTAGTTTCAGCTTCATAGCAAACGGGTCGCCCCATCTTTGCCCCGCTCCTGTGCCAGCGAAAAACACCCAGAATGTTTATCACAGTCCCTTGTGGAAAGATTGACAGACTGCTGTCTCAGCATATCTAGCATACACTCGCATTAACGCATATGGTAGCCATCCGAAGTGCTAACACAAACAGTCCAACATTAGAAATGTAGTTCATCATTGATGATAGCAGAACTTGTCGCCAACAGATCAGCAGTTGCCCGCGCGATCATTTTAATACGGGTCCCGCCAGCATTGCACGACCGGCATCGCGCCATTTTCTGAATCTACAATTCACACCACGTTGGTCACAGTCGAAAAAACATTCCAAATGCAATCCGCAGCTCACAGGGTCACGCCATGCGTTCAACTCAGAAGCTGGGCGACGAAACTATATCCAGTCTACAAATGGAGCAAAAATACTTCGGCCACCGTCCGGCAGAAGCAAAAAATTTGCCTCCGCTTTGAACAGCGCCGCTGTCTAGCGTCCATTTTAACCGTCCTTTCTTGGTCTGTCCGGTCTGTTCTTGTAGTCTCCTTTTTTCGTTCCTCATATCGTCCATTTCCTTTTCCATCCTATCACGTTCCCCAGTAAGATCCTGCACTGTCTTCCTCAGTTTGTTCCTTTCTATTTGTTAGTTAGTTAGTTAGTTAGTTAGTTAGTTGGGTTATCCTCATTGCACTCCGGACATGTCCATAGGTGCTCAGATCCTCCCCTCAGTATGAACCCCAACGTCCGATGGCTAATAGTACCAGTTCTATGTTGATTAACAAGTCTTCTGGCGTAGCTGGTGTGCGTCTCGTTTTTTGCTGTGCCGATCTTAATTCCTAAGTCTGCCATTCTGGCGAGTGATGTGGATTCACTGCCACTAAAGTCCTCTATTCTTCCCATTTCTCTGAGGGCATTGATAATATCAGCATGATCCATAGGCTGACCGTCGGTAGTGATAGCGGATCCAGCCAACCTGTCAGCTCTTTCATTTCCATTGACGCCTGCGTGTCCTGGAACAAAAATAGAGGTGACTCCACGAACAGTGGACTTCTGTAATGATTCAAGCCATTGTCTTCGCACTGAACCTGCCTGAACCCTCCGGATCATACTCATTGAATCACTGAGTATACCCACGCGGGTGTATTTTTGTGTTTCAAGCCAGGCAAGCGCTTGTGTCACTGCCATCACCTCCATCGTCATGCTGCTGGTTGTCGTGGAGAAGGCGCCGTTGGCTTCTTTGACTGTTCTGCCCGCTGAGCGTGCTGTAAATGCCCATGCGCTTCTTCTTTGGCGTATAACGGATCCGTCTGTATAGATTATTGCATCTGCTTCGTCTGAATTTTCACCGATGAGAGCGTTGACCTCTGCATTAACAGCAACAGGATTCTCTTCTCTACATCGCCTGTTGAGTGTGACAATACAGGAAAATGTACAAATAAACAGCAGAAGATGTTATTAGGCAAATATGCAGCCTAACCGACATCATACCTGGTGCAGAATGGATACCTGTGCCTCAAGCGTTTATTTGTACATTTTCCTTTCTATTGCAACTCTATCCAGCATTGTATAGTAATTTGTATTCACCGCTAGTATTTTGTCAATCTCCGCAAAGTGCATACATGCCGGGATAGGCATACAGAGATGGTCGAAGGGTGGTCGGCATGCAAATCGGCCTCCAGCTGTGGACTTGGTGCATGGATATCCAGGGAGACACTGGTGTTAGAAGTAGGTGGGCCAGAAGGGCGGGGTGTGGCAGAAGAAGGTGGGGTGGGTACCTCAGTTGGCTGGGCAGCGGCCAAGTCTCCAGCTCTGGGCTTGGTGAATGGGCATCCAGGGGGGCACTGGTGTCGGACGGAAGCTGGGCCAGCAGGGTGGGGCATGACAGAGGAAGGTGGGGTGGGTACCACAGTCGGCTGGGAAGCAGCCAAGGGAGGTGGGATAGGTGTCACAGCAGGGTGGGGAGTGGCAGACGGGGTGGGGTGGGTGCCACATCAGGGTGGGGAGTGACAGAGGGGGTTGGGATGTGTGGCACATCAGTGTCCGAGTCAGTGTCAGACCCAGAAGGGAAAGGTGATGCAGGGGGAGGGTGAGACTGTGTGGGTTCGGGGTTCGGGAGCCTTGCTTCTTCCGTGGGGGTTAGACTGTGTGGACTGCTGACCTCCTCAGCGCTAAGTCTTTCTGTTCCTTGGTCCAATTCCTTATCATCTCTTCCCTCATTGGCTGGTCCTGGTCCACAGCTGCTGTCCACCATCCTAATTGGTCCCATTTCTGTGATGGCCTTAGTTGCTTGGTCCAATTCCTTATCCTCTCTTCCCTCATTGGCTGGTCCTGGTCCACAGCTGCTGTCCACCATCCTGATTGGTCCCATTTCTGTGATGGCCTTAGTTGCTTGGTCCCTCTGGTGGTGCCTCCATTTCACCATTGCCACCGATGTCTGAGTCAACATGGCCTCTCTCCAGATGCCCATTGTGCCACGTCGTCTGATTGGTTAGAGGTAAACGCCGCCAAGCCTTCTGATTGGAAAGATGCAGTAGCCTCCAAGTCGTCTGATTGGTGGAGTATCGTATACCCAAAATACTGCGATACATGTAGTGTTTACAAGCTCTTGAATGAATGAATGAATTTCTACCCCACCAGGACATCACACAAGCGATAAACACCCGATGACACAAAGTGCCACCATGCGGATGAGGATCACCGTGGAGATGTCCCAGAAACCGCGTTCAGACAATAGGCCATATTTACGGCCTGCCTATATTTTGGTCCCTGGCAAAAGCCAGGATGGGGCTTCAAATAAACAAAAAATTTCGTTCTAAAAAGGACGTAAGGGTTTTTTAACTAGCTCTTTTCTTTCTGTCGTTTTTATACCCCTGTTCTACTCCTACCGCCTTAAAAGTCTATGATTAGCACCAGCAAGGAGATGAAAATTAGAATTTTGAGAGCATGCATCTTTCCTGTGGCTACATACGGATGTGAGTAGTGGACTATCTCTCAGTCCTTAAGAAATATAATAGGGGCTTTTGAGCTGAAATGCTATAGAAACATTCTCAGAATATCTTGGACAAAGAAGAGGAGAAATATTAAATCTTAAAAGATCTGAACATCAAGGACTATTGGCTAATAAACAGTATCCTTTCTCGGAAGCTGAAATATTTTGGTCTTATCAAGCGCCACGACAAACTAGGGAAAACAAATTATAGAAGAGGGCATGATACCAGGAAGGAGGGGCAGGGGCCGACCGACACGAAGATGAGCACATGATATAAGAGACTCCTTGAGTATGAAAGTACATGAGGCATGAGAAATGGCGAGAGAACAAGTTTCTTTCAGGCAGACTGTGATGAGCGCGACGTTTTGCAAAGGACCTGCTACATGATGACGGTGATGATCTACTCATACCATCATTTGCTGCGAGTATCGACGTCAGAGCATGATCATCGTAGCTCCCGCGAAGTCTATGTGAAAAATTTGATTATGACTGACTGACCCTCAACCCCACTAGGACATTGTACCGAGCGACAAACACCCGGTGACACAAAGTGCCACCATTCGGATGATGATCATCCGGTGTAAGGTTGCAGAAGCCCCTTTCAACACACATGTTGGGTTATTTTAAGGTCTCTGGCAACAGCCAGGGTGGAGCTTTAAGGGGAACAAAATTACGTCCGACATTGGATTGCACTATATTAACCTCCAAGTTAACAAAAATCTGAGTACCCCCGCAATGACATAAAATGACAGGAATTTGAAAGCCAGTCCCGCGAGACTTCACGGACGGGAGAGGCTCCCCCTGGCAACCCGGGATATACTGTGTCTGCTTGAGTCGAACTGTGGACATTTTCTTCACCGTCGCTCACATTTCTCACAATGACCACCTACAGGGTGAGTAAATTCATACTTCTACTGCAGTTTACGCTTTATACCTGCCATATACTGTGACAGCCAACTTTAATTATACACAGTATTATTTCAGCAACATACATTTGACGATCGAAGAATGTGAAACCAGGACACACCATTTGCCGATAATTGATTATTAATTTAACAAAGAAGCAAAAAATATACTGCACAATTTAATTATTGCCTGGCATAATTCGCTGTATCTCGTCAAGTGCATACTACAGTAACAATTGATTAAAATTAAGCAAATAGCTGAATCCTAGAAACTGAAACACAAATTCGAGTACAATCTGAACTGTCTGTTTCACTTTCACCAAGGTAACCGTAAGGTAACGACCATTTCTTTCTTTTAATAGCAAAAGTTCGGAATAGGGTTGCCACAGATTTTAAGCAGATCATAGCTGTCACAAGTCTGGTAATTTTTTGACATTTCTCATTATGGCTCTCCTCCGAACTTCTACCCCCGCATTATGGCGGCCAAACAAATATCCTAACAGGGCCTCAGTCCTATTAAAAATATGCGAACTTCCGGCGACGAACGAATCGCGGCAAAACTAGGATTACCTGACAATTTCAAGAGACGCAACACTGCAGACGATAATAGCGACTGTTGACACTTTCAAGCGTTTCTGCATACGATACTAGCATATGATACTAGCGACCGTTGACAATTGTGAGACGCGCAACATTACAGACGATAAAAGCGACATGATGGGGAGACCACACCTGCCGACGCAGATTAGCGTTGTTGTTGTCCTCAAACTTTTCGGCATGCGCAAAACGCGGTTACACTCACCGCCGACAGTATACCCCACGCCGCTGTGCGGATGGAGGGCTAAACTAGATGCATGGGACTTATGGGCAAATTAATTGGAGGAAGTTGCAGGAGATGCTGTAGCTGCTGCTTGTGAGTCCCAGCCATCTGGTTTAGCCCCCATCCGCGCCACGCATAGCGGCACGGGGATTGCGGTCGGCGGTGAGGCATAGTCACAGAAACAGGTCCGCAATTAACATATCGCTGAGACCTTGTTAGAGCATTTGTTTTGTTATAATGCCGGGGTAGAAGTTAGGAGGAGAGCCCTCATTATATTTTCTGCATATGTATTGAATAGGTATGGTGAGAGAATGCACCCCTGCCACACCCCCTTTTGCAAAATATAAATATATACACACACATACACAACTGCTGATTTATCATTTTGTTGGCCAAACTTTGAGACCTGGAAGCTTTGTAAGGAACATGAGAAATGGTCAACCAACTTCAGACTGTCAGCTGAGAACCATTTGTAGAGATTGAAATGTGACTTATAGTCATGTTCTTTTTCACACCTTTAGGCGTATTGGGCATATAGGACTAGACCTGTATTTTATAGACCGAAAGGCACTCAGTGGGTGATGTGTCAACCTTTACTTCCCAGGGCTTGTACCTGGTATTCACTCAAGTCTGGGTCGACCTGGGGAGTCAAGGTCATTTTAGAAAAAATGTTCAGCTCCTTCAGGACCTGAACCCACAACCTTTCAATCTGCAGGCCAGCGTCTAGCTGCTACACCACTGTGACTGCTGGTATGATGGGTAGGACTTTTTTCCAGACAAGAAGGTGCCTGTACACTCACCACAAATTGTCTACAAAGGTGCTAGTACTCACCACAAAGTGTCTATGAATGTGTCTGTACACTCACCACAAAGTGTCTACAAAGGTGCTAGTACTCACCACAAAGTGTCTATGAATGTGCCTGTACACTCACCACAAAGTGTCTACAAAGGTGCTAGTACTCACCACAGTGTCTACAAAGGTGCCTGTACACTCACCACAGAGTGTCTACAAAGGTGCTAGTGCAAACCACAGAGTGTCTATCGGCTTAGTGCTTACAAATATTGATGCCTAAGAAAAGGAACAGGTACTGCTGGAACCAAAGTCCAGTAGTGGACAAACAACCAGAACTTTGGAGCCAATGAACGCAGAGAAGAAGAATCAGTAAACTGTTCATAACCCCTGTGTCCAGACTGAATATGAGTGTCCAACCGCAATAAATTGGGGATTTTATGAGCATCAACACATTTATGAGAAAGAGTCCTTATGGTCGTGTTCCGAGTAAGGGAACCTCACTTTGTTACCAAGTAACCAGTATTCTTATTCTAACACATCCAGTTCTAGTAAAATCCCTGTTGCCCTTTACTGCATGATTGTTAGGTGGTCTAACCCCCCTTTCCCTTTTTTCCATCCCCACCCCAAAATGAAATCATGAATCTCACACTGAAGCAGTAACTAATTAGTTATACCTCTTCTCAGGCTGTATCAGTATTTGTCATCTGCTGACTTTTCATCTATGTATAATTTATTCATGTATGCATTTATTTGTAGGCAACAGATTCCAAGAGAGAGGAATTCAGAAAGTACCTAGAAAAAGCTGGAGTACTTGATACTCTTACCAAAGGTTGTAGTCATGTATTTTTGCTGTTTGTTGTTTTTATTTTTTTCAAATCTAATATTGTGTGAGATTATATTCCAGCATAGAGCCACCAGTAAAACTAGAAGATTCAAAGAAATGATGACATCAACGAAATGGTAGGAGCAATAACAAGGAGACAGAAAATAAAAGGATCTGATGAGAAAGAGACCTGTAAAACTACTCCTGTATATCTACAACTGTAGCTTGAGAAAGACCAAGAAGCATATAGATTGACATCAACACCTTACAGTGACATAGGCTCCCATTTGCCAGCACAACACACTTGGCTTCTTCTTCAGCAATCTGGTCGTGCGATTAATTCACTAGAGGCCATACACTAGGATGTCTTCTCTAGGTCTCTTTGGTTTTCCCAAAGCTTAGTTGACAGGTCTACTTGGTGTGATCACATGGTTTTTTTTACAGGTTCTCCAAATAAAGAGTCTTGCAAGACATCTGGGGTCTGTTCAGCATGAAGACACTGAAAGAAAGCTGATTAACTCATAATTTATTTTTATGATTGTTCGTTGAGTCTGCATTGTCCTTTACATTAGCAGAATTTTTAAAATGGTGACTTGTTCTGTTCTTTTAGCACAAGGACGTAAACTTGAGCTCACCACAGCACCTCATAGCAAAGTCTGAAATAGCACAGGGTACAGAACAGTTCTTCTGTGGTTCAGCAGATGATAGACAAAACAAAACATCTCTTAGTAACTGGCCTTTAAAAAAAATTGCAATTAACATTGCATCTTTGGTTTGGTTTTTACTTAAAGGTCACTTTTATTGCACCCAGATGTCTGTGCAGAATGTCCTGCACCTTCCTTCCATAGATAACATGGATGTTTCCATAAGTGCTCCCATAGATCATAACAGATTCTCATTCTCATAAAATGGCTACAGCATGGTTTTATTTTAGTCTCTGGGACAAAAAGGTGGCAACGGGAAATGGCCTCTCAGCCTCACTCATCATAACCTAGAATATATAAAGACCTAACATTTCACACTCCAAGATCTACTATAGGACTACCTGTAATTTATAATACATGGGCATGGCTGTAGGCATATTACTGTTTCTGCACACTTGTGCTCATTGTTAATATTCATAGTTCACAAGCAAAAGTGAAGTCCTCTTCATATCTACCACAGAGCCTGTGTTTGCATTTACCAAAATACCATCCTCTCGCTCTCTCTCTGTCTCTCTCTGTTTCTAACTCTTTCCCTCCCTCTCCTATCTCCGACAAATTCTCTCTATCCCTGATCCTAATTGTGGGATCAACTCATTAAGAATATCCACAGTAGCAGACAGTTATGCTGACCACACTACCACAGACAACCTAAACCTAAAGCTACAGTATTTAATTCCATTTAGTGAAGATCTCCACTTAAATCATGGGTTCCCCATTTATTTACTTTCAGTTCTGGTGGTGCTATACGAGGAGCCTGAGAAGCCCAACAATGCACTAGAGTATCCTTACTTTGAACAACCATTGCTGATGTTTTCCTGTTCCTTCTGTCATCTGTTTATGTTTTGCCATTGATTCTCTCACTTCCGATCCAAGCACTAAGTTGGGTAAGCACCAGCGTCTTAGTTCCGGGATATTTCCATATGAGCTCTGTCCTCATCCTCAGCAGCCAGCGATGAGATCAGTTCCAGTACTGATGGTCCCAATAGCGGTTTCATTATATGTCAGTCTTGCCTTTCTTCTAAGTCTATAGTATCTACCTCATCACACTTAACTTCACCATTCTCTCCAAACCATAAGAATCTGTTTGTGCTTCCATAATGCTGACTTGGTACCAGAGTGCCTTCCCACATCCAGCTTGTTATCTTTCAGTTCACCACACATCGGTACAGCACCACTGAGTGGTTTGGCCAAGCACAAAGTAAAATAGGTTTTACAGAAGAATATCTGTAAAACCACATCAGTATAGCATTGGACATGCTGAAACCACATTTGATAAAAATGAAGAACATCTTTTTTAATAAATCGTTGTGTTGCGCGGTGATTTATGTCACAGGCGTGAGGGGAAGTTAAGTCTAACATGATGTGTATAAGGAGATACTCCGTACGTCACTCGGGCACCAGTCCTTAACTATCCTGGTTGTACGGAACCTCACGCAAGACCCCTACAGCACGTCCTCGTCGTGCGCCACGGATAATGTCTCAAATGAGCATTAACAAAGCTGTCAGGGGATCTCGGAGTTTGGCGGCCCCCAGAGGTGATGTGTCCCTGTGGCTCTCATCAGCCCGCCCCCAATCGCTTGGGTGAAAAAATTTTATCAAAACTCATTAGGAACATGAGTAGGTTTGCCAAACGTACAGCCAAAATTACAACCCTTGGTTAAAAGACTGCGGAGTAAAGAGAACATTGTTCACTGCACATCCTCTGTTAACCCTCAGTGTCGTCGTCACCGCGCTGAGGTACACCACAACAGCAACCATCCATAGGCTGGCCATCCTTGTACATCCTCGGTTAACCCCCAGTGTCGTCGTCACCGCGCTGAGGTACACCACAACAGCAACCATCCATCGGACGGCTAAGCCTAATTGTCCGACAAAACTAGATCATACGGATCAAAATCTGACCATCAAAATTTGTATTGAACTGAAAAAGATCGAATGTCCACACCCAAAGACCCCACTCGCCCGAGGATGTAAAATTCTGTCGGGCTAACGGCTCGTCAAAGAAATCTAACGTGCGAAGAAAAAAAAAGAATGTACCTATCTGTGTGGTCACAAAAGTCCAAAACCCACGGGCTGCTCCCCGCTGACTTCCAGAGGGCGCAGCCCCTGTCGAGCGGGAGGCCTGATACGGTTGTGAGGTTAAGCAGGCATGTGCAGGACGTGACGATTCCTTGGGTGAGCCCAGAACCAGAGCGCCATGTGCCGGCTCTGCATGCATGGAAGCCTCCTTGGATGGCGGGGAATGCCCATGATCTGCCCCTGCCTTCCCTTGAGGGCTAACTGTTCCACAGGGGGCTGCCCCAAAGGGGTCTCCGAGGGCAATACCTGCGGAGAAGGAGACAAAGTGGACACCACACAAACCAGGCAACGTCTCGACCCACACAAAACAATGGCCACAGTCAACCTAGAAATAGGCCTGACGTCTTCCTTCGAAGTCGGAGTACAGCTGCCCACGAGGCAGGGAAATGAAAAACGGTTGTACACGCAAAAATCAGGTCCAGGTGAAAGCCAAAAGTCCAAGCGGACGATTAACCGGGACCTTCCACTGGAATTCACAGCCGGTGATCGATTAAAAAAAAAAAAAATCGTTGTCATAGAAGATTAAATAGGAATTTTGAATATTTCATTCTTCTTTGTATGGTCACCCTTAAATAGGAGGTTGGCTCGTCATGTTGTGGTTAGACCTAGGCTATGATATCTGCACATTTTGGCCCAACATACCCAATTTCATAAATGTGTAATTGATCACCTATTACAACCTATTTGATATGAAGCAGTGGGTGTATTTGTCTCCCATTCCCCATCCTCAAATGGGGTCACTGGAACCCACACTGGAAGCGTGTTATGTAAATACCACTGTTGTTAGTCCTTTACCATGGTTGTCAGCTTTCTAAAGCAACACCTGAACGCCTCTGGACCTGATGCAGCCGACATTGAGGCCCTCAAGCTGGAAGTCACCGAACTCAGAATCAAATGTGAGCAGCTGCAAGAGGAAAACAATGAACTCCGAGCTCGAGTAAGTTTGTCTGACCATTCTTCCTGTCTTTTTATTTCTGGCCAGTCTATCCTACCTTGTTTAATGCTGGCTAGTCTATCCTCCCTCGTTCATTTGAGGTCACTCTGTCCTGTTTTGTTTTGTTCTGGCTAGTTTATCCTACTTTCTTTAGTTCTGGTCAGTCTCCTATCTATTTTGTGGTAATCCCATCCTAAAATTTGTGTGTATGGCCATTCTGTTCTCATATAGACAGGTTTTTTTTTATTCAAGGGGTAGAGGTAGGTTGAAATGTAATAATAATTGTGATTTTGATGTTTGCATATTTGTGAATTATCATTGTCTTATCTTTAGAGTCAGCAATTGGTGATTGCTTCCTTGGTAGACCAAAAATAAATGTGGTGTATTTTGTTTAGCATGTTGTTTCCAATTGAAAGGGCCATATTTGAACTTCCCAGTGTGTGTTTCACGGCCCCATTTTGGAGGGAAAATGAAAAGGACCCCCCCCCTCCTATAAATGACTAATTGGGGGTGTGGCCTTTAGAGTCGGAGTGCATCTGCCTGAGAGGCGAGGAACTAACAGTCTTCTTACAGATAAGCTAGATCTGTTTTTTTTTTAAAAAGTGCATGCAAAACCCAAGTTCTGGAACAAGACAAACGTCCAGAAGTGGACAAACAGCCCAAACTTTCTGCTGAAGTATACAGCTGGCGAATAAGAAGAACAGATCTGGTAGAAGTTACATAGAAGCAGATAGGTCTAAAGAAGAATACAGAGATATGGGTCTAGAAAAGACTGCCGAGATTTAGGTATCTTCCTGTCTAATTTCAATGTTGTCATGATGTACTCCCACCCTCATTTCCGCATCTGACGACCATAAGAATGCGAAATATCTGCTTCTGAACTACATGATAGTTCTTTCTGTAAACTGTATTTAGCAAATTTTTGTTTCTGCAGGATTATATATTTATTGTTACTTTTTCCTGTCTTATCAGATTCAGCAGTTGGAGCCACCACCAGAACCAGAGGTTGCTGAAAATTGAGTTTAGTTCAGTGAAGTATTCACAGGTAGCTCTACATAATAAACAAGACCAGTTTTAAATATTGTTGCAATGTTCAAAGTGTTGGCCTGGTTGTTATGGTTTTAGTTTGAATGTGTTGGGGAGGTGGTTTTTAAGCAGTGTTGTTGAATGAATGCTGCATAGTTGACTGAACACTGTCCTCAGTTTAACACTGAATATTTGAGTGAACAGTGTCATCAGTTTAACACATACTGTATAATTTAATGAAAACATCTTCATTTAACACTATGTAATTAATTTAACAGTATAGTTGATGAAACCTGTATAGTTGATTGGGCACTGTAGTTCACAGTGTATAGTTGATGGAGCTCTGTAGTTAATTGAAAACTATTTAGTGGTTTTGACACTACTTCATTAAACATTACAGTTGATTGAACACTATGTAGAGTTGATTGGACACTATGGAGTGCATTGAGAAATAGGTAGTTGATTTAACACTGTACAGATGATTGAATACTACTGTTAATTGGGCACTGTTTAGTTAATTAACCACTGTATTATGGATAGAACACTGAATAGTTGATCCAATACCATGTAGGTGATTGAACACTGTAGTTGATCGAACATTTTATTGGATTAAACGTTATAGTTGATTGAACATTTTTTAGTTGTTTGAACACTACTATCTTTGATAAATACTATATAGTTGACTGAGCATTGTATAGTTGATTAAAGGCTGTATAGTTGATTGAACACTGTATAGTTGATTGGACACTAGTTTGATTGAAGATTTTGCCTAAAAATCAACATTTCTTTTCATTCAATAAAACCATGAAAGCATACTTCTGAATACCACATGTGTTGTAATAATATAAAGAGAATAAAAGTGTCTATATTTCTTTAGAATGCACTGACTTAATGTTTAAAAAAAGTACTAAGACACATGATACTGTGTTGGACTCTCTGGGAAGATTTGTGGCCTTCATTTCAAGACCTTTTTTTTTTCTGCAGTCCTAACGAGTAAAGTTAAATCTGAGAGGATCACCCTCATTTCCATTAATTAACCCATATTGCTCAGTCTCTCTCTCTCTCTCACAGTGTCACACAAAGCACAGATTTCAAAGCTGCAACAATGATCCCCAGAGATCTGTGTTAAAGTTGCACTTGTGAACTGAATGATGTCCATGAAATGAACCCATGCCATTCAGAGCACGAGGAGCTCAACTTTAACCTAAAACAGTGAATAGAGGCAGTAAAGATCTTTAGTAAATTGTTTATGTCAGGAACAGCTCGCTGATCAGCATTCACAAGTTTATTTGACATGTAAAGTAGTAGGCCATATTGCAGCTGTAATGTATCCATCACTTGCATGGTCGACAGAAGTAGATCTAGAGGTTGACCATGCAAGCCATAGAGAGATGGAATATCCAAGGCGGTAAATACCAGCATCTACATAGCACCTGCCAAGGCTCGCACCCTATGCCTCTTTAAAACTTGACACTTAAAAGCAGAACATGACCAGTGAAGCAGAAGAAAGACCATCAGACTTGAATGAAAGCATATTAGTGCACTGCCTGGCCTGCGCTGTGCATAAGTTTTCTTTTCTGTGGGATAAAAAATATCAATCTCAATACATGGAACAAATCAGCTTTATCATCAAGACAACATTCTCAAATATGAAAAATGTTTGTTTTGTAAAAATTGATTTGAAAGTGTTTTTATTTCCCCTGACACTTTATGAGGTTTCATACAGGAAGGCTAGCCTGATTAGGAAATGTGCGGAGAGGTCGAATGTGGTAGTTTAGAAACACATATATCATAGCTCTCTGCTAAACATGCAGATTAATTATGTCAAACACAAAATTATCTAGTCATGAAGAAATGTAAGATTCTGTGTTCACCAGCAGATTTTCTGGTTGTTAGACCACTTCTGGAGTTTTGTCTTGTTCCAGAAATTGAGTTTTTGCATGCAGGTGAACACGAAGAAAAAAGAATAATGACCACAATCTTTTGCTCCCGGGAATTTACACTTTTGTTTAACAGTTACCAGATATTTATGTTGCAGACAACTCAGAAGAGATTTTTGTCTATTCTTGTTTGTAATTGTATAAGTTTTCATTTGTGTCCATGTTTGTAATTGTTTAGTTGTCCGTTTGTGTCCTATGTTTATAACTGTATGGTTGTCTGTTTGTGTCCTTTGCTTGTAATTGTATTATTGTCTGTGTCTTTTGCTTATAACTGTAAAGTTGTCTATTTGTGTTCTGTGCTTGCAATTGTATAGTTGTCGTTTGTGTCCTACGCTTGTAATTGTATAATTGTGTGTTTATGTCCTGTGCTTACAATTGTATAATTCTCCTTTTGTGTCCTGTGCTTGTAATCATATAGTTGTCCGTTTGTGTCCTGTGCTTGTAATTGCATAATTGTGCGTTTGTGTCCTGTGCTTGTAATTGTATAATTGTGCATTTGTATCCTGTGCTTGTAATTGTATAATTGTCCGTTTATGTCCTGTGCTTGCAATTGTATGGTTGTCCGTTTGTGACCTGTGCTTGTAATTGTATAATTGTCCGTTTATGTCCTGTGCTTGCAATTGTATGGTTGTCCGTTTGTTAGTTAGTTAGTTAGTTAGTTAGTTGGGTTATCGTCATTGCACTCCGGACATGTCCATAGGTGCTCAGATCCTCCCCTCAGTATGAACCCCAACGTCCGATGGCTAATAGTACCAGTTCTATGTTGATTAACAAGTCTTCTGACGTGTCCGGTGTGAGTTTCGTTTTTTGCTGTGCCGATCTTAATTCCCAAGTCTGCCATTCTGGCGAGTGATGTGGATTCACTGCCACCAAAGTCCTCTATCCTTCCCATTTCTCTGAGGGCATTGATAATATCAGCATGATCCATAGGCCGACCGTCGGTAGTGATAGCGGATCCAGCCAACCTGTCAGCTCTTTCATTTCCATCAACGCCTGCGTATCCCGGAACAAAAATAAAGGTGACTCTACGCACAGTGGACTTCTGTAATGATTCAAGCCATTGTCTTCGCACTGAACCTGCCTGAACCCTCCGGATCATACTCATTGAATCACTGAGTATACATATGCGGGTGTATTTTTGTGTTTCAAGCCAGGCAAACGCTTGCGTCACTGCCATCACCTCCATCGTCATGCTGCTGGTTGTCATGGAGAAGGCACCGTTGGCTTCTTTGACTGTTCTGCCCGCTGAGCGTGCTGTAAATGCCCATGCGCATTGTCCGTTTGTGACCTGTGCTTGTAATTGTATAAATGTCTGTCTGTGTCCTGCGCTGATGAGGACTCTATGATCGCAACATTAATTTGTGATTGTAGTATAGTGAAGCTCACTTATTTTACTTCTTGTTGAGTTGGGTTGGGTCAAGAATTTAAATCAGAGCACTCGGCACCACCGTCCCCATCTTCAGCAACCAGGAGAGTTTCTATACTAATGGTGCCGGTTGTAGTCTGGTTATATGTTCGTCTAGCTTTTCCTCTGAGTGTAGTGAGCCGGCCAGACCCTCTGGTCACACCAAGGGGCCTCATTCTCTCCAGGTCCTAATAATCTAGTTTCCCTCTACTTCTTGTTTGAGTTGACATTTTTAAAAATGGTAGCTCTGCTGTAAACGCTTAAGAGAAAGCCTAAAAGACTAAAGTTACTGAGAGAGACTAAAAGTTTGTGGTCTGGATTTAGCCTACTTTATTGAAAGATATAAAACCAAACAAAAATCATATCAATGAGCTTCACAATATAACAAAGGAAACGTGAAGGTTGTGGCTAAAGAGCCTTCACCAGCACATATATAAATTAAACAAAACCACACGAATAACACAAAATCACTTAACTGATGTATCCTGAAGCAGCCACATTGATGTCTTGGCAGTGGAAAAGTATATGATATTAAAAGGATTGCAGAGGATAGAGCAGAATGGAATGCTAGACTGCAAGCCCAGGAAAGTTATATAACTAACACACAACAGAATGTTGATTAAAATCAAGATTAGGACATTTCAGAAAATTTTTGATTTTTGTAACTGGATAGATGACCATAGTCTTTACACATGACGTGGAACAGTTCTGAGTTTTTGTAAATTCTACTGGTGAATCGTTGAAATCAGAAATAGCTTGCTGATCAGCACACACAGTTTCATTTGATATATAAAGTGTTGATCTATAATGCAGCTGTAATGTATTATACAAAAGGCAGCATCGATTTGACAGTTATTAACATACAAGGTCCGACAATTAAGTAATGAGACTAATTCCATAAAAATTAAAATAATCAACAGTTGGAGATATAACCTGTATTGTATTCAAAGTAAACCCCTTATGCAATAATACAGGAAGTGGCACGATCTAACAAACACTGGAACAACCTCTATAGTTTTTCTGTTGCTATGACCCTCAAAGTCGATGTTACGGTCCTTTGGGTGTCATCAAAATTGTTAAAAAAGCATCCTTTCAATCAAAACTTTAATTAGGGGAATATAAAATAATCACTGGGAGACAAATCTGGGAAATAGGGTGGAAGGCTGAGAACACACACTTGTTTTTGGGCCCAAAATTCTTGTTTTGATTATGTCTCTTGGGTACTTAACCGCTGATGTTTTTGGTCATCAAACAATTGTGGTACAAATCGGCAAGCAACTTTTTTCTTGCCAAAATCTTGCACTAAAATTTTATGAGTGGTCTCCCTTTTACCATTAAATTAATCTGCCATTATCTTAACAGTTAAACAATGATCTTTTTTGTATCCGTTCTCTGACTTTTGCAATGAGTTCACTATTACGAACAGAAATTTGGCGTCCAGGTCTAGATGCATTAATAATAATTTCTGCACCACTTTTGAATCGTGAATACCACCTGAAAATTTGTGCACGAGATAAACAATTATCCCCATAAATTTGTTGAATCAGTTCAACTGTTTCAATGGCACTTTTTCTTGGTTTTAAACAGAATTTCATGTTAGCTTTTTGCTCCATGTTAATTACGTAACAATGCATCTCTGACTAGGTCAA